ACGCGAGTGCACGGGAGTGTATAAGTGCACATTATCCATGGTTTGCAAGAAGCCTGCCCCTCCCCCGCAGTCTCCAAATGTCAACATGCCTGCCCTCGGCCATCCCCTCTGACCTGGGACTCCTAAGGAGATGTCCTGTACAATTTGGTTTGGGTGGGAGAAGGAGCACCACACGGGCTTCAAACTCAGCCGCATGTAATGGGCATGTGCAGCCACAGTCCAGTTCTCTGCCTCGCCCTGACCCACCCCACCCCTCTCCACCCCTCCCCACCCCTCCCCACCCCATCCCCATCCCTGGGTGCTGCAGTTAAAGGCAGGCTGTGCAGAGTTCAGTGAGGAGCAGAGCACATTGGGTATGATCCCTGGACATGGTTAATGTGAGGAGGTGAGTCAGCAGGAGATCCCAGACTCCCAGGGCTTCTCCCCCTTTGCTGGGGGGCAGGGTGGACCCAGCCAAGTGCCAGGGAAAAGCAAGAACAGTGGAGCACTTTGTGCTCTCAAAGCACTTTTGAGCGTGTGTTCCTTCACGCCTCTGGCACTGGGGCAGGGCTAGTGTGCTTGGCTGGTGAGAAAACAGGCACTGTGCTGAGCACGCAAGATGCGTGATCTCACAGGAGGGACAGTTCTGAACTCCTCACAGGTAAAGCAGGTAGCCTAGAGGAGCTGAAGGATCCACCCGAGATCCCGCAGCAAGGGGCAAGACCCGAGTTCAAGGTCAGGTCGACAGCCCAGGTACCTTCCATTTTGTGCCACTGTTTCCCAGGTGTTCCAGATGGAGTGCCGTTTGTGACCCTACTATTATCAGTGTCACTAGAGGCTACCTAAATCCTGCCAGAGTTCCCATCAGGCAGGTTCAACTGTGTATTCCCCTACCATCATAGCCACCCTTTAATAAGAAAACTCACACAGGGCCAGACATTTCACCAAGTGTTTGATGTGCCTTATCTTGTTTAGGCTTTACAACAGCAGGTATTATTCTTTCCATTTGACAGATGAAGAGACTGAGGTTCAGAAAAGTTGAGTGATTTGCCCAAGGTCACATCCAATAGATGTACATGCTGAGTTCTTATAACCCAGTCTATTTCCTCCAAGTCTTGGTTTGGCATTCTGAACCTTGCCAGCTCCAATACAGAAAGGCTTCTAGAAGTCCATTCTCCTCCAGAAGGCACAGTGGAAGCCGTGGGTGGAGGGAAGAAGACTTCCCCATCTAGTCTAGGAGTTGGTGATGGCACCAATTGGTGGCATCCTACCCTGAGTTGACAGAAATTGACTCCCTCCTAGGTTGGGAGTTGCCAGGGCTGTCCCTGTGTCTGGTCAAGGTCTCCTGTGCCCAAAAGTCACTGGCCCTGAAGGACATCCAAACCCCCAAATTATCATCTGTCTGCTGCCAACGTCAACATTCCACGCCTTTACCTTCAAACTCGGAAACCTGTTCATTGCCCAGGCTCATGGCTCTGCTGTGGACCACCCTRGCAAACCTTCCATTACCATTTCTCTAATGTCAAAACCAGGGCTGACCTGTTTCTGCAATTATCCAGCATGCTGCTCCTTGGCGTGGGGACAAAACGCTGGCCGGCTGCCCTGTCTCCCTTTCAGTCTGACTTCCTCCACTTTCTCCTTTCTCCCATTTCCTGCTCTGCAGAAACCCATGCGTGAGTGCTTCAGAGCTCACCTCTGACTCTGGACTTGGGTCTCCACGTGGAGGGCAGCTACCGCTGGACCTTCCTCTCCCAACTCTTTGGAATCCTCCTGACACACCCAGCTGCATACGGGGTGGAGCTGAGTGTCACATCTGAGCAGCAGCTTGGCCCAAGTGTGGCTGGCAGCCAACTCAGGCAATTTACATCTTGCCCCTTGCTGGGGACATCCTGCCAAGGTATCTTTACCTGGTGACAAATCCCTGTTCTATGCACAGTAAAGGCAAGAATTCCATCATGCAAATCAGGGTCCAGGGCTCTAGCCAAAGGGAATGGGGCTCCTGCCCAGAGTCAATGCTGGCTTCTCCAGCGGGGTGATGGGAGAAGCCCTCTGGGTTCTTTCTGTTGTCCAGTGGCAACCTCATGACCTCACTGATTTGCATTTGGCCATTTCGCTCTTTGCTGAGGTCCCAGGAGGAAAAGAACAAGACTAGTGTGGAAAGAGAAAGGGCAGATTATTCCCAAGATTCCTGCTGAGCAGAGGAGAGGGTATAATATACAGAAGTGCCCCCACCTGAGGGGGATGTATCCAGGACCCTCCTGGGTGCCTGAAACTCTATATGGATAGTACTGAATCCATCTACACTGTGCTTTTCCTATACATRCACAAGTTCAGTGCCTTTCCTATCTTAACTTACTCTGCTTATCACACACTGGGGCTATAACTTTTGCAGGTTGCAGTTCAACAGCAAAACACATTTATTTTCCTCCTTCACAATTTCACAGGTAAAAGATTCACCCTTTTTTCATTTCAATCTTTTTTTGTTTGTTTTTTTGGTGGTGCTGAGGATTGAACCCAGGGCCTCATGCATGCTAGGCAAGATGAATCACATACTCAGCTCTCACCCTTACCATAGACCTTAGCAATCTCGGTATATGATTTTTTTCTTTCCTTAAGTTGAGAACTTTCATCCTTTCACTTAAAAGAAGCACTTTATTACCTCTCTTTGGCATATCCAAATTGCCAGGATCACTACTCTTGCACTTTGGGGCCACTGTTGAGTAAAATAAGGATAACTTGACCACAAGAACTGCATTACTGCCAGTCAATTTGATGACCCAGTGAGCTACCAAATGACTACAGGAGGGTAGTATATATAAGGTGGATATGCTGGACAAATACAATTCATTCATTCCTGGACAGGAAAGAGTCAAACAGTACAAGATTTCAACACACTACTCAGATATCTGCAACTTAAAACTTATGAGTTGTTGATTATTTCTGGACATTTCCACTTAATATTTTCAGATCACAGTTGACTGCAGGTAGCAGAAACCTTGGGAAATGAAGCTGTGGCTGGATGGGGGTACCACTATACTGTAAAATGATGCTTTCCAGACCTTAATGTRGATGGTGTTAAAATACAGATTTTGTATTGGTGAGGATGGGGGGAAAAGGTACACTCATACGTTGCTGATGGGACTCCAAATTGGTGCAACCACTATGGAAAGCAGTATGGAGATTCCTGAGAAAACTTGGAATAGAACCACCATTTGCCCCCCACCCCCCCCAAAAAAATGCTCCTCAATTTATTCCCAAAGGACTTAAAATCAGCATACTACAGTGATGCAGCCACATCAGTGTTTATAGCAGCTCAGTTCACAATAGCTAAACTGTGGAACCAACCTAGGTGCCCTTCAGCAGATGAATGGATAAAGAAAATGTGGTCTRTATGCACAATGGAATGTTATCAGCCTTAAAGAAGAATGAAATCGTGACATTTGCTGGTAAATGGATGGAGCTGGARAATATCGTGATAAGTGAAATAAGCCAATCCCAAAGAATCAAAGGTCAAATGTTTTCTCTGATATGTGGATGCTAATTCACAATACGGGGGGCTGGCTAGGGAAGAATAGAGGTACTTTGGATTAGACAGAGTGGAATGAAGGGAGAGGAGGGGGTGTGAGGATAGGAAGGATAATAGAATGAGTCGGACATTATTACCCTATGTGCATATATGATTACCCAAACAGTGTAGCTCTACACCATGTACAACCAGAAAAATGAGAAATTATACTCCATTTATGTATGATATGTCGTACATAAATGACATATACAAAAGCAAAAAAAAACCCAGATTTTGGAGGAGGCCTGGAGTACAGCTGACATTATGTATTTCTAACAAGCTCCCAGGAGATATTGGAACCAATAGTCTGTASATCACAATTTGAATAGCAAAGATCGTTAGCCCTCCCCTGTAAGTCACTTAAAGCCTAAAAATTTCATGGGGGAATAGAATATTACCTTTCACAATTAAGAAATCAGATTCCAAGTTCAGATGTATTATGAGAGGAAACTAGTGATATCAATACCATGACCCTGTGGGATACTTTTTCCTCTTGTACCAGGAAACCAAGATTCAGAGACATGAGTTAACATGCCCAGAGTCTCACACAGCTTTTAGTGAGAAGGTTAGCTTTAGAGCCTCTTGTTCTTAACCACTAGACTTGACTTGTATTGCAGGAAGATGAATTCACTAGATGAAATCCACTGGGATAGCAGTGGATGTTTGATTGAGGACTATTTTGATTTTGAGGGATGGAAAAACAACTCAAACTTACTTAAAGAAAAAGGAATCGCAGCCGGGCACTGTGGCACATGCCGTAATACCAGGACCTCAGGAGGCTGAGGCAGGAGGATCACAAGTTCAAAGCCAGCCTCAGCAACGGTGAGGCACTAAGCAATCAGCGAGACCCTGTCTCTAAATAAAATACAAAATAGGGCTGGGATGTGGCTCAGTGGTCGAGTGACCCTGAGTTCAATCTCCAGTACCAAGAAAAAGGAATGGCTTTCATGCCTAGCTAGATCCAGGGGTCTGCTTTCCTCTGTGTTGGCATCTTCCTCAGGCAGGCTCCCCCACCCCCGCCCCCAGTGGCTGGAGAGCAGCTGTGACCCCGTCACCCAACCTAGCCATAAGGCAAGTCTTTCTCCCAGTGCTCCCAGCAAGTCCTTCCTTGGGCTCAAGTTAGGCCACGTGTTCACTGAAGAACCCGTCACAGGTGGCCGCAGGTGGGGATGAGTGTGGAATAGCCTGATGGTCTTGGGCCTGGAACGCCCACCCCATAAGGACCTAGAGCAGAAAAGGGTTGGCTCCTAGGGTCAGGGAGGTTCTACCAACAGCAGAAAGAATGTCCTGGAAGACAGGTGTCCGCCCCAGGAAGCCTTGAGTTCTTCCCCCTTGGCCAGACTGAAGACACAGTAGGCAGCCGCCAGGGCCAGTGGGGTTGGGTGGGGCCACGAGGGTCTGGGGACAAGTGCATTAGGGAGGCGTGGTGTGTGACCTGTGGTCTCTCTGTTCCCAGGAAACCTCCAGCCATGGCCCTGGGCCTCTTCCGGGTGTGTCTGGTAGTGGTGACGGCCATCGTCAACCACCCGCTGCTGTTCCCGCGGGAGAACGCCACTGTCCCAGAGAACGACCAGGACATCATCCGCAAGATGCAGGCCCACGAGGAGAAGATGCAGCTGGAGCGGCTGCGCCTGGAGGAGGAGGAGGCGCGGATGGCAGCCGAGAAGGAGGCCCCGGAGCAGGTGGCGGAGGAGGGCCAGCAGCAGCAGGAGACGCTGGCCTTGAACCTCTGGACCACTCTCTGCATGATCCTCTTCCTGATCATCGAGGTGTGGCGTCAGGACCACCACGACGGGCCCTTGCCTGAGTGCCCCGGTGGGGACGAGGATGAGCTGCCGCTGCTGGGGAGCGCCCCGCTGCGGGGCGTCACCCTGCCCAGTCAGGCCATGCTGGGCCACTTTCACGAGCACGGTATCCGCGGCACCATGGCCGACGCTGCCCGCACCCGGGAGTTCGTGGAAGGCTTCGTGGACGACCTGCTGGGAGCCCTGAGGAGCCTCTGCCACCGGGACACTGACATGGAGGTGGAGGACTTCATCGGTGTGGGCAGCATGTACGAGAACTGGCCGGCGGACAGGCCGCTGCTGTGCCACCTGTTCGTGCCCTTCACGCCCCCGGAGCCCTACCGCTTCCACCCGGAGCTCTGTTGCTCCGGCCGCTCYGTGCCCTTGGACCGCCAGGGCTACGGCCAGGTCAAGGTGGGCCGGGCCGACGGGGACCCGCTGGGCTGCATCTGTGGCAAGACCAAGCTCGGGGAGGACATGCTGTGCCTCCTCCACGCCCAGCAGAGCGGGGCGCAGCCCTGCAGGGAGATGGAGGACCTGCTGTGTGCCCCAGAGTCCCCGTACCTGGACACCATGCGGGTCATGAAGTGGTTCCACACGGCCCTCACTAAAGCCTGGCAGCGCATCGCCCATAAGTTCGACTTTGACCTGGCCTTTGGCCAGTTGGACACCCCCGGGTCCCTCAAAATCATGTTCCGCTCAGGCAAGGCCATACCCTTCAACCTGATTCCTGTGATCCAGAGTGACAACTCCGATCTGCACTTTGTCTCCCACCTTCCCAGGGAGCTCTCTGGGGAGACCCCGGCCTCCAGCACCGACTGGCTCCTGTCCTTTGCTGTCTATGAGCAGCACTTCCTCAGGATAACTTCCAAGGGGCTGCCCGAGGGGGCCTGCCACCTCAGCTGCCTGCAGATCGCCTCCTTCCTGCTCTCCAAGCAGAGCGGCATGGAGGGCGCCTGCGGCCTGGGCGCCAGCGGGCTCAGCACCTACCACCTGAAGACGGCGCTGATGCACCTCCTGCTCTCCCGCAAGGCCTCCGACTGGAAGGCGGCGCAGCTGCACTCACGCCTGCAGGAGCTGCTCTGCTTCCTGGAGAAGAGCCTGCTGGAGAAGAAGCTCCTTCACTTCTTTGTGGGCAACCGCAAGGTCCCCGAGGCCCTGGGACTCCCCGAGGCCGTGCGCAGGGCAGAGCCTCTCAACCTCTTCCGGCCCTTCGTCCTGCAGCGGGGTCTCTACCGGAGGACAGTGGACTCCTTCTATAAGATGCTCGAGAATGCCCCAACCCTTGTCAGTGAATATTCCCTACGTGTCCCCTCCAGTCAGGCCAGCCTGTCCACCAAAGCTGTCATCTTGTAGAGTATGTGGAATTTGAGAGCCAGGAGGGAGGGTGTCTCGAAAGTCCGAGTGGCCGGGGCTCTAGGCTTGGCGGASAGCCCAGGTGCAGCCTGCCGGGAAGGAAGCCAGGCCCCGCGGGTGGAGGAAACAGAATTCCAGCTGGATGCTGATTTGCTTCCCTGCCGCTGAGGCCCAGTGGCAGAGTTATCATTTGGGTTTGGGGACTGGTTCTTTGCAGAGYGCTCTTGGATTACCACAGATGGACAAGAAGGTGAGACTGAGAAGGAGAGAGTGCCGACATTGACCTTGAGCGTAATCCATTTCCATCTTGGGCCCAGCCCGAGATGTATCAACAGATGCTCCACATGAATGCTGCCAGGGACCCGCGTTCAGATCCTGTACCCCATGTCCAGGAATGCTGGGCCCCAGCCATCTTCAGGCAAAATAAGAATAAGGACAGATGTGGGAATCCACAACCTGTGACCCACAGTGGCTGCCCCTTCTTATAGTGTTGGAAGAAGAGACCGGGTAGAAACCTGGGACTCCAAGTAGCTCATGCTACACTCAGCTGGGTATTTGGTGGCAGAGGGTTTAAAGTTGGCTGATGCTTTGGCCATATTCTCACTCAGGTGCACCTCTTCCCAGGCCTCTTTGCTAGCACTGTGTGTCCCAAGTGTTCCAATGGCACCTGGGTGCCATTTACCGCGCTGGGCGCCTCTCACCTCTCTCCATCCTTTCAGCTCATCAGTGTGGTAGGGGGATGGCAGATGCTGCAGATGGAAACTGATCTTGAAAAAGAGAAGTACAGGCTGCCTGGGACGAGGGACAGAGCCTGGTTCCCAGGGAGGTAGGGTTAGGCGTGTAATCTGGACTAGTTCAGAGGAGGTGGCAGAGCCCTGGGGTGGGGACTGCCATAGCCTTGCAGTGTCCTCAGGCTCTCAGTCCTAGGGCAGGGTGGGCTTGGAAGCTAGAGCTCTGGAAACCCAGCACTGGGCCACAGGCCCAAAGCCACCTCCTGCCCAGTTCCTCACTACAGGGGGACTCGCTTACTGCCCAGAGCCCACCCTTTCTGTGTGGGCCTTCCTGACCATACAGATAACCCAGACCTAAAAGCCTGGTGTTGGCTGGGCTGACTGGGGACCTGTGTGGGCACCAAGGACACAGCCCTCAGAATTCAGGGGCCACCTTGTCCTGCCGAGAGCTATGGGCCCTGAGTAGGCACCAGAGCCTGAGGCTAGACTGGGCTCCTCTGCAGGCCTCGTTCACGGGATTGAGGAAACTCTTCTCCACTGGGCTTCAGTGGCCCTTTGAGACATCCTTTCTGCATCACTTCAGGACAAAGAGGAATGGAGAACAAAGAGCCAGGCCATGCCCAGGTCCCTCTTCCAGGATTCATGCCATCCATGCCTGCCTCCCAGATGGCATAACTAACTCGATGTGGGTGTCCGAGCTTACTGCGACCTGAAGAGAAGAGCGCCTCCCTGTGCCCAAGGAATGCGCTCTCACCTAGCCCCGGAAAGCTCCAGAAGGACCACTTGCCCACCAGCGTTAGATCCTGGTGGGAAGACGGCTGCAGTCAGGGCAGCAGATCCCATAGGAAGTGGCCTTGTGTGAGCAGGAGCTGGACTGAGCTCGTGCCTGGGCTCCCCAGGCCCCCCAGCCACCACCTGGCACCCCAGGGAGTGACCCTGCTCAGGTGTGGCTCACAGCAACCCTGAGCCAGCCATCCCACTGGATTTCACTTCCAGAATCAGGGCAGATTTCCTTATTTATTGTAACCTCTGCCTTTTCTCCCTTCATCCTTATCCTGCTGTGCTATGAAGAGAACCCAGTCACCAAGAACCCGCCTCCAGAGGCCAAGGCCAAGCCTGCATCTCCCTCAGGTCCCCCTTTGCTTTCGGGAGAAAGTTCRCTCAAAAACTAGCCCCAGGGTCTTGTTTGTGCAGAACTCGGTGGAGAAACCGTGGTCTGTTGTGCACCGAAGCTGCTTCTGAAGCAGAACGCAGCGGGGCTCTCGGTGTTTCATGCTGCCTTATTTATATTAAAAATAAATAAATCAATAAATTCTYGCATGGAGGAGAAACGGGCACAGAGTTTGTTTTTAACTTCGGGAAGTTTGTGTGGCTCCCAGGGCAGAGTTGGGGACGGGGGTGGATTTCCTATTGACAAGCAGAAGCTTTCGCTCCCCTTTTATTCTTACACTTTCAGGAAACTTTTAAAAATAACAAACTGGAAGACTTCTGTCTCTGARGCTGTGTCTGCGCTGCCTGCGGAGGTCCAGAAAGGCCTTTGAAAGCCAGCTGGGAGGGCAGATTCCAGCCCCGGACCTTACTTCACAGAGCTCCTGTGTGCAAAGAAATGGAGGCTCTGGAAGTCACTGGAAGCTTCCSATGTTTGAAGAAAGAAACTGTCTTGTAACTGGAGGAGCTCTGGCCCTTGAGGGCACGTGGACCTTTCCACTAAGGACACCCCTCCCCCTCTGTCTCTGAGGACTTTCATTTCTTTCCAAAGGATACTAACTGYGCCTGGCCTCTGCCTACTTTCTGGGCAGGATGCTCCAGGCTGTGATGCACCTCTTGACAAGGGTGAACTGAGCAGAGCCAGCCTGAGGCCAGGAGTTTGCGTAGATTGGGGAAGTACGCTGCATACTTCAAGGCCCTGTCCCTATTTTGTTACTATAATGAAATATCTGAGGCAGGCCACTTAGGAAGAAAAGAGAGTTTGGGAGGCTCGATCGTATTTATATGGCCTCTGGCTAGGTGTCGCATGATGGTGGGGACATGCATATGAGAAAACACGTCTTGAACTAGGGAACAAAGAATTGAGCTTTTATAACAATCATTTTGTGAATACTAACCAGGGTCCCATGAGAAGTGCCTCATTTCCTCCTGAGGGCACACACTGATTGACCCCAGGGCTTCCCACTAGGTGCCTGCCTCATAGTTTCTACCACCTCCCAACACCACCACCCTGAGGACCAAGCTTCCAACATGTGAATCTGTTTGGGGGGGTGGGTGGGAGTACCAAGGATTGAACTCAGGGGCACTTGACCACTGAGCCACACCCCCAGCYCTATTTTGTATTTTATTTAGAGACAGGGTCTCACTGAGTTGCTTAGTGCCTCACTTTTGCCAAGGCTGGCTTTGAACTCATAATCCTCCTGCCTCAGCTCCTGCCTCAGCTGCTRGATTRCAGGCAAGAGCCMCCATGCCCTGMCAAACATGTGAATCTTTGAGGGGGACACAGAACTCCCAAATTCCAGTTCTTGCCATGCTTTGCTGATGCACCGCCGGGTGAGAACCTGGAGCTAGCTAGCACATAGGTTCATTGTCAAGAGTGTCGGGGCCCCTGGACAGCTGGGCCATTTACCCAGATGCTACATGTTACCAGAATCCAACCTGGAGCAGTCAGGCAAGACTTATTTTTAAAGCTTTCTCCCACGTGACTGGCAGTCCCCTTGGTTGAGGAAGATTTCTCACTTCCTTTCCAAATGGACAGCTCCAGGAAGCCCAAGTGGGTAGCTTTTGCCCCAGAGCTATTGGGAGGTGGACCTGGGAGAATCTGATGAGCCTTCTAGGCATCTATGGTCCAGGGGGTATCAGCCATGCCAGGCCTCTGCAGGAGGCAGCAGGTGGTGCTAATTCCTAGCAGGTCTTCAGGGTCCCCAAGCAGGCCAGGCATGGTGGCACACCCTTGTAATCCCAGGTMCTTGGGAAGGTGAGGCAGTTCTAGACCAGCCTGGGCAACTTGTCTCAAATTTTAAAAGGACCTGGGTAGAGTAGAGCACTTGCCTAGCATGTGCGAGGCCCTGGGTATAATTTTGGGAGGGACAGAGAGGTGACCTTCTAATTACTCGCCTATGAAAAGTGCCACAAGAAAGACTGAAATGCACACAGTGCTGGTAGGTTCCAAGGAGACCAGTGAGGACCTGTTTGCCTACATGTGGCCCCACACCACCCATATCACATGGATGCTGGCTCCCGGGCCACATCACAGGCTGCAGAGGTATCTCTGGGAATGGGATCTAGGAATCTGCATTTCACCAGATTCCTCAGGTAATTCTGGAAGGCCTCCTGGTGGCTCTGAAGGACARGTAGAACTGTGTGACCAAGAGAAACACGGCAGCCAGAACCACCGACTCCACAGCAGCTCTTGCTTTGTGTGCCCCCACCTGTGAGCTCCAGGTCAGTCAGTCCGTCCTGAGGCGGCTGCAGTAACTGTCCTCCCATTTTCCTGATGAGGAAACTGAGGCACAGAGGGGTTATGTGATTTATCTAAGGTCACACAGGGGTAAGTGACTGTCAATATTCTAACCAGGCAGTGCTGGTATATGTGTTCCTGGGATGTTGTGGCAAATCAAGTTGAGAAGGTAGAGTGGGAGCTGAATCACAGGAAGCCTTAGATGCTAAGCTACAGCCAATTTGGTGATGATTGATGAGCCATTGGCAGTTTTTGAGTGAGACAGTAGCTTGATTCACCCCTAAGCTGTGGAGTTCTTAGTTACGTGCTCTGTGCCCTGTGGGGTGCCGAGGTGGCAGGGTTGGCACCCCCAGCAGCAGCCAGGGAACATCTAGGAGATCCTGGATTCAGTCTCTCCGAGGCTTATTCAGAACATTCCCGCGTTCTGTCTTGTCTCCACTTCGTGGGACAGAGCTGGAAGGTTGTTTGGTTTGTTCCCATGCAGAGCCGAGAACCGCCCAGCGAGAACCGCCCAGCGAAGGCCAGGCCAGTCCCCATCTCACTGCACCCTCCCCCGCCCACCTCCACCCCCCTGGAGGGGCAGTGTTTACAGTTGACTTTTCTCATCGCCATCTAAAGATAGCTTGTACTTTTAAGTAGTTTGTTTTAAAATAAAACAGTACCAGTCATGATTTAAAAAAAAAAAAAAATCAACACAAACCTCCTCCTCCTGACTTCTGAGTCCACTCCCCAGAGAGAACCAGTACTGTTTCTTGGGTATCCTTCCAAAATTTTTCTGTGTATGTTTATCACACCTGCGTTTGCCTTGCTTAAATGGCATGCCATCTAACTTTTCTTGGGCATCTTTTTGAACATTTTGCTGTCTTATTCTTTAAAACAGCTGCTCACTGTCAACTCTGTATGTGTGCTTGGGCCTCAGTTTACCAGCCTCCCCTACCGAGGACCACGCAGCTGCCTCCAGACTTTTTTGCTGTTATAAATATCTCTGTGCACTTGCCCTGTTTTGAATCGACCTTTCCTCTCCTGGTACTCACTGTATCCTGTACKTAGCAACTTGCTGCAGGGAGATTCACCACCAAGCTCTTTATAGCATCAAAAGCAACCATTGCCGGGGGTTTCTGCAATCGAGGCCGCAGAGTAAAGGAAAGGCATTCGGCCAAGCCCTGAGCAACAGGTGGGCTTTCCCCGGGTCAGGCACTAGGTGAGGAGCAGAGGTAGAACTCAGGGGTCCTGTGCCTAGGAAACTGGGTCTGTTAGGAAGCCAAGACCAATGGCTGCAGAATAAGTCAGAGATCCAGGAAGGGGTGGTAGTCATTGGAAGTGAAGTAGAGGCCACCCAAGGGGCGTGGGAAGAGCTGGGTCCGCCTTGAGTCTGAGCTCTCACAGCTTTAGCTCCCTCACAAAATATGAAGCACCCCCCCAAAGAAAACCGAAGCCACCTGATTGCCTTCCAAATGCCTGGACTCCACTCACCTGAGCCCCAGGGCTGGCTGGTTTCCTCCTACACAACGTGAGGCCTTACTTTATAGGTGAAATCACATCTGTCATCACTCTGGTGTCCCTCTACAGCCCCAGAAAGAAACCAGGACATAAAACTGTCAGCAACAAATTATCTCCCAGCAAGATGGACCCACACAGGCCTCAGAGATGTTCCAAGGCACTGCTTCTGTCCTTGGGAGGAAGAAGGGCTAAGCGGAGCTCTCAGGACAGGGAGAGCAGCGGGGGTTTGGTCCCACTGGTCAGTGATACTTTTGGTTTCTATTAGGGTAACTTAGTGTAAAATAGAAACAGAAAGCAATGGTCCACTTCCTGCTTCCCCTTGGCTTTATTCACAGCTGGCCAGGGTTGACTCCCCCTGTACGGGACCCAGGGGTCTCACTGTCTACTCCATGAGACGGAGGCTTCAGATACGCATAAATGGCACAGGAGCTGAGAGCTTAGGCTCCGTGTTCAAATCCCAGTGGTGCCTCATCCCCGCGCTGCAAGCAAGTCTCCTCATTTTTGTATGCGTTGATTTTACCTCAGTTTTCTCAACTGTAAAATGGGAATAATGCCACCCACTTCATGAGATTGACTGGAAATGCATGTGTAAATCACTGAGGCTAGGGCCTGGAGAAAAATAAGCTCCACAACAAAACAGCATTCCGTTCATTGTTACCTTTGCACTTAGCAGAGCCCCTCACAGCCAATTCCCACCTCCCGGTTCCCCCGGGCTGTCAGGGCTGCGCCCCCCGCGCTTCCTTTCCCTGGACTCCCTCGGCACACAGGGTGGGACCTGCGAGGTCTGTTTCCTCTACACCTCCTTTGGGGACAGACACATGCCAGGTGCTCAGGAAATGTTTGTGGACCTCCTGGGGAGGGGTCTAGGGCATGGCCCCCCAGTTTGTGAGAATAATGAGGGGTCTCTGTCCTCGGCCCTTCCGACTTCTCTGCTCTCCTAGGCTGTGTGCTGCAGGAGCACAGCCAGAGCCCAGACCAGTATTTGCCGTAGTCAGGACAGACGGACGGAGCTGGGGTACCTGGCAGGACATCCCTGCTGCTCTGGAGACACAGGCTCCTCTTCACATGGCAGAGGCTGTGACAGCTGCCTCGTGAGGGGCTCCCTGGACACCCGTTTGTCCAGGCGACCATCTCATCCTGTGCCCTGCATTCGCTCACTCACAGGACAGCGAGTGAGTGGCATCACCGTGTGCCCTGCATCCCGGCGCTGAGCAGATACGAGGGGAAACAAAGTCGAGAAGGCATTGTCCTGCTCGAGAAAGGCCCCGGTCCAGGGGGGGGCAGAAGAGGAAGGTCACGAGGACAGAGGCAAGGCGATTACTGGTGACAGGAAGACAGAGGAGCTTGGGGGTTGAGGGCACAGGCTCTGGAGTACACAAATCCCAGCCCTGCACCGTGCCAGCTGCGTGACATTGGGGCAAGTTATCCACCTCCAAGTCTCAGTTCGCCTGACTATAAAATGATTAGGACTCACAAGATCTGGAGGAGTAAGTCAGGTGTGTAGACTCCCTTGTATACAGCAGGCACTCAGTAAACACAAGGTGTGTTATTGCTCTGACTACCCCGTGCTCCCACCTTCACACCTGAAACCAAACCCCAGCAAACCCTTCCCCTGGCTCCCAGGTGAGCAACCCCTGTGCCCCCAAACCTAGGGCATCTGTGGGTCCCCCACGCTCTTCCTCCCTCTGCCTTCAGATCATTTGGGACAGTAGCTCAGAAAAAGTCCCCAAAGAAGACTTTTCTGACTAGCAAATGAACAGCCAATGACCATTACTTTAGAATGAAATTTTTAGCTGGCCGCGGTAGTGCACGTCTATAATCCCAGCGGCTCAGGAGGCTGAGGCAGGAGGATTGCAAGTTCAAGGTCAGTCTCAGCAATTTATCGAGGCCCTGAACAATTTAGTGAGTGCCTGTATCAAAACAAAATATTAAAGCAAAGGGCTGGGGATGGGGCTCAGTGGTAGAGCACCCCTGGGTTCAATCCCTGGTTAAAAAAAAAAAAAAAGCTCTGGAAAAGGCAAGGAGACATTTGGTCAATCAACTAGCATTAAGGGAAGTCAAAGATGAGTTTCAACATAGAATGAAATTTCTAAAACACCTCTTGCCCCTATCATTATATATTTCCTCTTTATTCATCCCCAATACCTGCTTCTTATGGCAGCCTTTGGAATATAACTAGGCTCAGTGGAGGCCAGGCTCCACTCGGACCCTCCCAGGAAGACCCCCACAACCTGCTCTGGTTGTGCATTCTGATGTTATCATCCTTTGTGACCCGAGGTTTTTCCAGAACTGTGGTTGCAACTCATTTTCCCCTTTTCCAGGGTGAGCTTTATCTCTTGCAAAGATAAAGATAACCTCTTGAATCCTGAGGTTAAAATGCTCCTTGTGAGACCCATACACGATGTTAAATGTGGTTCTCTCTGGACATAAGATCACAGATGTCCTATTGTTGACATTATTGTGATTTTGGCCTCTGTTTTGTCTCTGCCCTCCCTGCTCACGAGCTCTCCGTAGCACCCTTTAGTGGCTCTGCCCTCTTTCCACGTCCTCTTAGTTTCATCCGGAGGTCGATGAGACTTGGTTTCTCTGTGTGTCAGTCCAATGACATAAAGAAATAAGGAGGAAGTATAGGGCAGGGCATGTGACCAGGACCTTGGCAACCTGCAGGGGGCCACTCAGACCCCAAACAGGGCCGTGGGCCACCAGCCAGCAATCTTTCCCCCCAAAGTAGTTTTATCCATGCTTTATTTCCAGGCTCTTCGAGTTTTCTATATTAGTTATACGTGGGGTCCTGAAAGAGACCACCTTCATTTTGGTCACCCAGAGAATGCCATTTTCGGTCACATCAAAAGCAATTGCGGTCCCATGCCAAAGAGTCACCAGTGAGGGCGATTTATACCTGCAAAGGCTGATCAGTCCCCTGAGTCCAGGAGAGACCACGGGAGATGATGCCCCTGTTCCCACGCACAGATCCCGGGGAAACACTGATTCACACGCTCCACTCTGCATACGTTCAGGTGCCATGGCAACGAGGCCCTTCAGAGCAGATGGTGGCGCCGACTGCCCGTCATGTGGCACCTCTTCTGGCAGGCCAGGCAGCCTCACCAAGCAGGCTTGCCTCTGTCCAGCTGGCAGGGAGTGACTCCTGGTAACTATGTACATGGGGCAAAATATGCCCAGAGCCAGCAGATGGCAGGGCCCAGCCGAGATGTGGGAGGAGGGGAGGGCTGGTTTGGGCTGAGTCAGAGGCAGGGACAGCGGACAGCTCCTGAAGGGGCAGGAACAAGTCAAAACATCACACACGCTGCTGCCTGGCCTCAGCTCGTCTGGGAGGCTGGGGAACAAACTGAGCGGGAGCCAAGCCAAAAACATCAGAAGCTTCGACAAATAACACTGGACGCCTCCAGGGGAGGCGATGGACACTCCCAGCAGAGGGCAACTGCTGGTGCCCCCAGCATCCTCAGCTCTCAGTGTCTTTGTGCAAATCTCTGGTGGGGCCAAGCCAGAGCCTCTCACTGCAAAAGAAGCAGCTCCAAAGCTCCAGGGTCAACCCTCCACCAAGATGACAGACAGGTGAGGGGCTCCTGTGGGGGGAGCAGGGCCCGCATCTTTGCCAACTGTATCCTTCACGTGACCCTGAGCTTGGTACCCAACAGGCAAACGGAGGCATCTGTTGGGACAGATTGAAAGAGTACGTGACGCAAATCCCACAGAGTGACCTTTACCCGTGACTTGGGGTGTGTGCGTTTTTTTGCTACAGGATACTGGTTACAGAACATTTGGTGAGACATCCCGAGCCATGACAGTGAAATTCTGACGTACTTAGCCCAGAGTGATAAACGGGTGTTTCATTTCCTGCTTTGGAATTCTTTCCAGTCACAAGACCCTCCGTGTCTCCCAGGCCCATGGCCAAAGTTTGAACAGAATGACAGGCACTCGTGCCCGCCCATAGGGACGACAGCATTCACTTGTCCAAAGGAGGGTATTTGGACTTGGAGTGTTTTCTTCTTCCCCTCCTTCTTCTCAAGATTTCCTCTCACCAGGGAGGTTTGGAGGAGGTGCCCATCTGCAGTGACAAACGTCCATCCTAGGCAGGCCCTGAACACCAATATCAGCACTGTCACCAATCATCTGGAGATCCAATTGCACCAAAGGCCAAGGATCTGAGAGACACACTTGCTCCCAAAATGCACTGGGACATCAGGGCTGGGCACCTTCTGCAGAATCATTAGAAGCTACAGGCTAGAGAAGTCAGACAAATGATTACCAGAAAGAATACATTTTCTGTTTCCATTTTTATTGGGAACCTCAAAGAAAAGGAAGAGAGACGGATTGACTCCTGAGACAATCCCTGATGCAGAATCACAAAACGCTGGGAATTCTGGGTGTTGAATGGGGGACCATGAACCTCAGCAAATCAGTCCAAAATCAAAGGCGTTAGGGTTGTTCTGGAAATAGAGATTCAAGAAGCCCAGGAAAACGTTCTTATCCATGAGCAGAGCACAGACTGTGGGGTCCTGCTTCATAGCTGATATCCAGAGCCGTAACGTGGGGGTGTGATTCACACAACTGCAAGACAGGAAAGAGGGGTCAGCACGTCCCACAGGGAAGACACTGGGAAGAGGGACACTTACTGCCTTTTAGATTTGCAAGAAAGCAAAAGTGAGTTTCTTGGGGGGAATATGGTTAATACAGTTATCATATTTAAGTGAACATAATCACTTAACTGAAGAAAAAAAATTTTTTTTAAATAGCTGTACACGTTTTGGAATTGCAGAATCTGTTGCTTCTAATAATATGGGGGATACTTGTGGACTGAGGCTCTGGGGAAATAAAGCGTCTATTTCCTTGTTTACTAACAAAAAATAGAAAACATTCTTAGGTCATTTGCAGATTTTACTTCAGGGAGTTTGAAAAAGATAAAAACAGTAGTTTCCAAAAATACTTTTTAAGTGAATAAAACAATCCTGAGACTTGAAATCATGGAGATACTGAGGGCCCTGTTATGGTTTGGATGTGAGGGGTCCCCAAATGCTCATGTGGGAGACAGTGCAAGAAGGTTCAGAGGAGAAGTGATTGGGTTGTAAGAGTCTTAAACCAATCGGTGATTTAATCCCCCTATAGGGATTAACGCAGTGGTAACTGAAGAGGTGGGGTGTGGCTGGAGGAGATGGGAATTGGGACATGGCCTTGGTGTATATATTGGTATCTAGAAAGTGAAGTCTCTCTCTCTCTCTGCTTCTGGATCACCATGGGAGCTGTTTCCCTCTGCCACACTTCCACCATGATGTCCTGCCTCACCTTGAGCCCTGAGGAATGGAGCTGGCCTTCTATGGACTAAGATCTCTAAAACCAAGAGTCCTCAAATAAACTCTTCCTCCTCTACAGTTATGCTGGTCCTTTAGTCACAGCAGCAAAAGAGCTGACGAAAACAGGCCCTCTAAAGATGGATCAAGGAATTTAGGTCAAGGGCATGCAGGGTGACATGCTACAGTAACAACTGGCTAGGGACAGTCCAGGACTGGTGGTGAACCTTCCTGATCTAGAGTTCAATGCTCTGTCTTTGGAGGAGACAGGTTCTTATCATTTACATGTTGGAGTTGAGTTTGAATATCCAAGTTGGTTATGTTACTGATTTCCAAACATCAGAAATGTCCAGCACCATCCCTGCATCTGGCAGGATTAACACAAATCCTAGGCCTATCCAACATCTCTCTGGGCTTTGGGATGACAAAGCCTGTGTTCTGCTCAGGATGCTACAGAGCTATTATTTCTTTGGCCTTAAACATCCCTACCCTTCTGTGGAATGTGGTTGTGATTTTGTACATGCATTTAAACATTAATCATGTGTTCCTTTTAAAAATTATATTCCTAGGCTGGGGTTGTGGCTTAGTGGCAGAGTGCTCGCCTAGCACATGTGAGGCACTGGGTTCAAACCTCAGCACCACATTAAAAAAAATTAAATAAAATAAAGATATTAAAAATATATTAATAAATAAAAATGATATTCCTATCTGGGGGAAGATTCCTCATAGACATGAGATGTGACTCGGGTGTGTGGTATCTGCTGGGCAATGAGTGCAGCAGGACCAGAGGGACTGGGCAGGACAGCAGGCTGTGAAGCGCTACAGGAGGCTTTTGCTTACGGGGTCTCCCCAAAGAGATGCAAGCAACACCTGAGTCTGCAGGTGGTGGGAGGAAAGCCCAGGTGCATTTGGAACAAGGACGCGCACATGGGTGGCTTGAAAATCTGCTTTGGTTTTATACATCCTGGGACACCCCCACAAGGGGAGGTACTGGCACATAGACCATCTCAAACATTGTCACTCAGTGTATTTGCCACCACATGGTTGAGGGTCTTACTCAGCTATCCCATACACATCCAGCCGCTCAAACCAGGGCCAGAGGAGGTAATCGATCATGGATATGTGGTCCCCACCAAAGAAGGTGGTGTTCTGATAGTCCAGAATCTAGAAAGGCAAACGGAACAAAAGCACGTTAATTCACAGCTCTGCCGGCGTATTTCTAGACATTAAATATAAATATCAGATACATTCCCAAAGAGGGAGATGGAGGCTTCAATTCTTCTTCCCATTTTTAGGAGACTGTCTCTTCCCTCTTCCTAAGGTTTCTTCCACCTCCTCTAGGGCCACACTCCTGGCTGCATTCTGTCCCCTCCCTCCTTCCAACACTGGAATAACATTGTAACTCAAGTGACTGGAGAATCTGGACAGACAACCAGTGGCCCAGTGGCTCCCCCAGTCTGGAGCAGGCTGCTCCAGGTGCTGGGCTTCCACACACCAGCTGGGTCCAGAGCGGGAGGCCCAGCCTCAGCCCAGAGCTGCCCGTGACCTGGAGGCCTGGGAGCCTCAGCCTGATGCTGAAGGAATCGTCAGGAGCCCCACTTGCTGTAGTTCTGAACCCCATTCCCAGCATGCTCTTCTCTATAACAAAGGGCCTACGTAGCCTTCCTACCGCTCACTCTTTCACCTTCTCAATCCGTTCAAAGCCACGGCAGGAAGAGCAGCTCCCTCAAATCCCAGCATTATCCATCATTCTTTTATTTGAGTTCTCTGAACTTCACACTCTGTCCCCTCAACATTATCAATATCTGCATTAAAATAAAATTTCTCTTTCCTAAATGGGACAAATCAACACAGGTAGATAGATTCTACTGAAAACAGACACTCTCTCAACAGACAGATCATCAAAGACGATGAAAGAAAGCACCTGAAAACCCTAAAAAGCAAGCACACTTGGCGAGGCTGTCATTGGGCCAGCTCTTCCTGGTGTCCGTTACCTGGCTGAATCAAGCAACCACTCGCTTTGGCCTACACAGCTCATAACCAGAGATCCGTCCCCCAGCTGGGGCTTAGAATGTGGCCCAGGTGACTCAAAGAGGCCAGCTCTGTGGTGTTTCCTTCTTGAGATGTTGGGGCTGTAGTGAGGGACAGAGGTTTACTAAGAGGCATCCTGTAAATTGGGTACCTGGAATGAATGGCACCATCAAGGACACACTCCAGGCCTGCTTGCTCTCTTGGCTGGGGCATGGTGATGGGCTTGTAGCTAAGAAGGGAAGCTCTAGAGCCCCCAGACCTTGTCCTATAATAGGCTTTACCTCTGATCTAACATGGAACCCAGAGCAACTTACCTCCTTTCTCCTCTAAGCCTCAAAGTCCTCATCTATAAAATGGTGGGGATGTCAGAGGTTCTGGTGAGGGAGTGACAAAGCATGCATGGAAACCCACCTGACCCTGCTCAGTGAATAAGAGCAGAGACCCCTCATTCTGCATCCACAGAAATCAAGTAAATACCTCCTGCCAAAAGATCATGAGCTCTCTACATGCCACCCCTTCTCCGAGGGGAAAGAAAGTCTTGATGCCCTGAAGTCTACGTCTTGATATTTCCCAGTGGGCATAGAGAGATCCCCTGGATTGTTGTCCTGAAAGTCTGGATAAATGTTAGGTGATAACACTTGTTCAAGGAGGCTAACAGAACAGCATGAAGACAGCAGAAGCTACGCAATGAAAAACCCAGAGGTGTCCTCAGTCACATATAAACAAGATCTGGCTTAGAGGGGAAAGAAGCAAATATATCAGTGTTTATAGATTCCAGCAGGCTCAAAACTCCCTTTATGCCCAGGAATAGATAATAAGTGTCTAAACTCTGTGTGTGTGTGTGTGTGTGTGTGTGTGTGTGTGTGTGTGTTTTGTTTGTTTGTTTTAGGTACTGGGAATTGTACTCAGGGACACTTAACCACTGAGCTACACCCCCATCCCTTTTAACGTTTTATTCTGAGACAGGGTCTCACTAAATTGCTCAGGGCCTCCCTCGCTAAGTTGTTGAGGCTGGCCTTAGACTTGTGATCCTCCTGACTCAGCCTCCTTAGTCACTGGGTTTCAGGTATGCACCACTGCACCCAGCTAAATACCCAAACTTTTATCACTGATTTTGGAATGAAGAGCCACAACTTGTTATTGGACTCATGGCACAAATGAAAACCAAATCTAAACCACTGGACTTTGGAACAACTGTATAATTCTGCTTTACAGAGCAGGATGTTCTTGGAAAAGACCTTGTTAAGTAAATCAGACAAAGACATTTAATGGAATCAGATGGGTCCTTTGATAAAATGATGATATAATTTCACAAATGAATCACTGCTTAGCAATTGATAATTGTTCAATATATATTTCTAAAGTTTTCTATTTATTTACTCAGAGTAGGAGCATGCCTTGAAATATATGATCTTATAGACATTATATAAATACTCATAAAGTAATACAAGCAATAATCAAGGTACTCAGCACAGTAAAGTCAACATGAGCCAGGTATGGTGGCACACTCCTGTAATACCAGTTACTTGGGAGGCTGAGAAGGCAGGACTACAAGTTTAAGCTGAGCCTAGGCGATTTAGTGACCCTGTCTCTAAAGTTTAAAATGGCTGGGAAAGTGGCTCATTGGTAGAGACCCTAGCATGTGCGAGGCCCTGGGTTCAATTCTCAGTACCAAGGAGGGTGGAATCCATGTGAGCTAGTGGATAAAATAGATCAACTGCCCTTCACCAGGCCCTCAAAGGGCAATACACGTCCCCTCAGCTCTCTCGGAGCCTGCGATAACTTGACCCGCCCACATCAAAACTGCCGGAACTCTCAATACAGAGCCAGATTATTTGTTTTTGTTTTTATTTTCTTTTTTAGTTCTGTGGACAGAAAAGGGCCTCATACATGCTGGGTAAGTGCTCTGCTACTGAGCCCCCCACTCCACTGCTGCAGACCCTTGAGCCCTGCCCCAGACAGCATTTCCCCACCAATTTTAAGCAAATCTAAAAATTCCTAAAGAAAACTGTCTGCCCATCAACTAGCACAGAGTTCTGCCTCCTTTACTGATGAATCCCAGGGATGCAGAACACCCTGGCCAGGCCTCCTTGGAGGATTCTTGCAATTCTTTAGGACTCCCAATAGGAGAGCTCTCTTCTATACAAACCTGGTACTTTTCAGACATTTAAAATTATCTTAGAGTCCCAGACATTGTGAGGGAAGCATTTTGMAAAAAAAAAAAAAAAAAAAGCATTTGAGGTTCTGGAATACTACAAAAAATCTATTTTAAAATGTTCTGTTTTCCAAATCACTTAAAAATAAGGCTACAGACTTAATGAGGGAAAACTAGTGAGCAATGCCCCAAAGAAGGAAGGCCTTTTTGGCCTGAGGAAGGTGCACTGTTCCTTCCCACCCTCTGAACCTGAAAGGCCTGGCTGGAAAAGCCCCTCCTCTTCTTCCAGGCCTTCGGGCGCCCCCAGCGGGAGGAAGATGGAAAGTCAGTCCTTCAGGTCCACAGGAGCGAGAGCGGAGGAGGAAGCACTCGGGTCTCCCTCTAGTGGTCATCAGTGGAGCGGCGCAGTGGCCGTGCCTCCCTCCCGTAGGTTCAAAGGAAGGAAAAAGAAATCTGCAATGCTTTCAGGACAGAAGCAAACTCATAAAAGAGAAGCGAACCCCAGACTTTTTAAATCAAGACAATGTAAAAAAAAAAAAAAAAACTCCAGATTAAGATCTCAGACTCTCAGGTGCAGCCTCAATAACTGAGCTTCAAACCTTGAAGGGGCTGCCTGCCCTTTACCATCATCATTGACAGAAATCCCTGGCCTTATGGTCATTGTGGTCGGCTCTCCCTCCTCCTCCTCCTCCTCCTCCTCCTCCTTCTCCTCCTCCTCCTCCTCCTCATCATCATCATCATCATCTTTGGTACAGGAGATTGAGCCCAGTGGAGCTTTACCACTGAGCCACATCCCCAGCCCTTTTAATTTTTTTTTTTTTTAATTTTAAGACAAGGTCTTGATAAGTTGCTTAGGGCCTCACTAAATTGCTGAGGCTGGCTTTGAATGTGTGATCCTCTTGCCTCAGCCTCCAGAGTCTATAGGGTTACTGGTGTGTGCACCCATCTGGAAATTATTCTTAAGAAGCAGCCCACCCTCCCCCAAAACATGAAGTCACCTACCAATATGTGAGCAGTACAATTCAAGTGCTTATCCAGATGCCACGGCAAAGCACTCAATTTTTTTCTTCCCATAAATCTTTTGAGTTCATAAAAGATAAGTGAAAATTCTCAAGATGTAAATTCAGGTCCCTGCTACACTGAGACAGCTGAGGATCCAATGAACAGAGCCTCAGTAAAATGAATCATTTTCTCCTCTATGAAACAGCATTAGAAGTAGGGTTTATGCAGAACCTGCCCCTCCTGCTGCCCCTCAGTTATGATCAAGATTGTCCCATGAAGATGCAGAATACAACCTGTCAACATTTGGAGCTTAAAGGGGCAGTGAAAATTCTATCCTATAATCCTTTTAATGGCCCTAATTATTTTGTTCAAAATATCTTTGTAACACTAGGTGATGCCAGTCAAATTCTGTAAAGTGATGAATAGCGTATGCAAATTTGGCGAATATTTATCACCTCTCTGAAGGGGGAGGGATTTCTATGCATAAAAATCAGTGGAAAAAAGCATATCAGGAAAGACTTACAGAACAATATTTTTAAATGTTACATTTCTATATACATAAAAGAGATAAATTAAAGGTTAAAGTAAAAATGAGTTTTTAAAACAAGTAGATTTTATACATAAGGAACTCTTTTAAAGGAACTACTAAAAATAGACAAGGAAAATCAATAAAGTCTTGAGAGGCAGATGGACAACATCCCTTGAAGAGACAATGTTCACAAAACCAAATACAAAGCGATGACATACTTTGGGGAAACCTCCCACTTCAGATGCAATCAAAGTAATACAAAGGGCTCAAAGTGTAGCTAAATGGTAGAGTGCTTGCCTTGAACGTGCAGGGCCCTGGGTTCATTTCCCCAGCACAGTGTGTGTGTGTGTGTGTGTGTGTGTGTGTGTGTGTGAAGTCAAAAAGGAGAAATTGTTATTTAGCTCTCTAAAACAAGCAAGTATCTTTGTGAATGAAATCTCTAAAGGA